CTGTGAGAAGAACACAATGATCATTGGTTAATCTCATTTCAGGTCTCGGCCAAAAGAAGAGGACGAAGAAGTTGGTTTCAAACAGCATATTTTTAGGGTAAAAAAAATTCAATTCACGGCAGCTCAACCTATCAGGCCAAAGGTTTGCCAAATTCTAACCGGGCTCGGTTTCCCAAGGCTCCCGAAAATCGCAGGCCCAGCAGCCCACCTTTGCGGCTTTGTCCGTTTGGATCTCTCTCTCCGCCTCCTTTCCTCTTCGCCGCCGAGTGAACGAGAGACGACAGACGAGGCGAAGCAGCACCCACCGCCGCGTGGTGTATAAATACCCACCGAGCAGAACACGGCGGCGATCGAGATGAGTACCAGAGCAAATATCGCGGAGGAGGAAACGGCGATGGAGGGAGGCGAATCGAGCTCCACTCCCGAGCAGCAGCAGATCGAGGTCCTGTGCGTCGAGATGGAGGAGCTTGCGTCTTTCCTGAGGGCCAAGATCAAACCAGCAGCAGCCGCGCTCCGCCTCAGCAGCAGCAACGAGACGGGAGACAAAGAGGCGGCGGCGGCGCCGGGGCCAGACATCTCGGATCGTATCTCGGAGGCGCGGTACGCCGTATCCAAGCTCAGATCGGGGGCTGTGTTTTGATTTTCGGCCGCAAAATGTGTATTTCGGCCATCTCGGCCTGAGGCGAAAAATATATTTAGGCCGAAATTACTCAAATTTAACAAATTTTGGTCAAATTTAATTCAAATTACAGTCAAAATTTGGTCAAATTTCAGCCGAAATCTTTAAAAATGACCGAAATTCGGCCATCTTGGCCTAGGGCGAAAAAAAGCTCAAACCGAAAGTCAAAACACAGATCGGGGGTGGCCATGCTCCTGCCGGGCCCGAGACCGGCAGCTGCAGGCGAGTTCGTTCCGAACCCCGCTGGCGCTGGCCATCAACCGGAGGAGGGAGAGGAGGAGGATATGACCCCCGAGACGACCAAGTATTACAGGATGCTCGAGAGCGAGGTCGAGCTGGAGGAGTACGGGCACAGGACCGCGGAGGGCATAGCGATGTATGCCCGGTTCCGCAAGGAGCTGCTAGAGATGGAGTACGGCCTTCGAGAGCTCCGGGAGCAGAATGAGAGGGACGACATTAAGCGGCAGCGCGAAGTGGACGCCACCATCCGCTTGTCGCGTCGGGGCCAAGAGGAAGAGGAGGACGAAGAGGAAGCTGAGGAGGAGGAGGAAGAGGATGAAGACCTCACGGAATCAGTCGAGGAGATGGCCATGGAGATGGAGGGGGAGGAGAAGTTGTTTGCTTTGGAACGTAAAGGCTGGGAGTCTGCATGGGGAGACGAAAACGACTTCGAAGACGCGAGTAAGTAAAGCATACTTTCTTCATTCAGTCCTCCATTGAACTTCCGCTGTAAACTTATAAACTAGTAATATAAGATCTTTTATATCACTAAAGTATAGTGATCTAAAAGATCTTATATTAGTTTGCAGAGGGAGTATATAGTAATTCAAGTTGAAACATGTCTAAAATTTGGATTGATTTGGTGGCTTTGTGTCCTGCAGCCGTGCTGAGCCCTATGCACTTTACATACTGCACGCCAGGATTGATCCCGTTTGTTGCTAGGGCCGCGAGCACCTTGCAGATCTACTCCATCAAGATTATTGGAGCAAGTAGGAAGTTGGAGTGGCCACTCTATGTGTATGGGGTTGTCGCTGCCCGAGACGACGTGGACTACAACCGCAACATTCTCTTCTCTCGGCGGAGGGAAGACTGCCAAAAACTCACTCCAGAGGTATGCATCGTATCCCTGTTTTTTCTTTTTGTTTTACCTTTATTTTTATTTTTTATTTTGTTCAACTATACGCATGATTATGATGATGATCCCTGCAGGATCCATTTTTGTGCTTGACTGGCCCGTCCCGTGCGATTGTGTCCATGGAATATGCCGATTTGGAAGTCCAGCTGAAAGTAAAGGGTGAAACAAGGTCTAGTGATAGAGCATTGATCACCCGTCGGTCCACTTACTCCGGTGGTTACCATCAAGGTTTGGAGACCATGAACTTCAGCAACTGCTTTTGCACGGTAGAGTTGAGTTTAGAGCGGCTTACGGAAACTGTCCAGGCTACTATCTTGAGTGTCCGTGTTGACGAAGAGGGGCCATGGCCTTTTGAACATGGCGGACGGATTATGTGCTCCTCACCACCACACGAAGTTAAAGACCCCCTATCCAGGCAAGTTGTTCTGGTTGATTCTCATAGTTGTGAAGGTGGAGAAATGCCAATGGGCACAGCCGGTTACATTGATCTGTCAAGGCGTGTTGTTTCTGTAAAATTGGAAGACAACCTGCAATTTGTCATACAAGCCTACTCGCAGTCCGGCGCTATTGCTAGACAAAGTAGTGTCACATTCAGGACGAAATATTGCAATGTTAGCCGAGGTATATGCAAGATTGGTGACTCTGTGGTGGAGATTACTATTGCTTGGTCCCATATTGTTAAGCACAAGAGGGAAATACACTTAGAAGGTCATGTTTTGGGTGGCTGGGGAGTTGTAAAACATTGAGAGCACCTTGATGCAGCTGAGGTTCGACCATAACCATTTATTTGGTTTTAGCTTTACAAGAATGGATGGATGTTATTGGAAATCAAGTATTATGGTAGACAGAATATAGCATGAGTGACATATAATAAGAAAAGTACAAAATACAGCCTATTTGTAGTTTTGTACAACATGGCTGCTGAATCTACTTCACACAGCATAGTAAGAAATTATAATACACATGCACAAAAATAGTCCGATAACATTGGTCATTTAGCTAATCGATACTATGACAAAAAAAGTTTTCCAGGGCTTTCAGTGGTCAAGTTGTTTCACTTGTCCTTCGTAGCAGAAATGAACCTGTTTGACTGTCCCTGCCTGAAAAGATATAGTAAGAAAAAGACCCATGACTCCATGAGTAAGAGTTAATAGACCAAGGAAACAGCATGAAAATGGAGCCACGAGACCAGCTTGTTCCATGTCTGACCTGGCCTCCATGATGAATTATACCTGGTATCTAGCGTAAGATGCAGGAGCATCCCTACCAACTGTTTGCTCTATCTCATTAGCTGACATTTGATCAACACGGTTGCCCAACACATGCTGATCTCTAGTCCTGGTTGTTTGCTCAATCTCTTCAATTGCTTAAGTTCTGCGAATTATAGAATCACAAAGCGGTGCAAAATGGAGTAGAAGATATCTTTTTTTAGGGAAAAGTATATTTTCGTGCCTCAACCCTTTCAAAAGTTTAGAACTGGACCCTAAACTTCAAAACCAACAAACTATAGTCCCTCAACTTCCAAAGCAGATAAGTTTAGTCCCTGGTGTCACCTCGGGTGGTTTCTTTGCTGACCGTGAGTGGTTTTTGATTAAAACAGGGCACATCATGTGCGGGTCCCACTTGTCATCGTCAGGGAGAAAGAAATAATAGCTAAAAATAAAAATAAGGTGGATGGGCTGCTAGCCCTTGCGTGCTCCTGCCGGCGCGGTGCGGGTTCGACCATGTGTCTCATACTTCTCTCTTATTTAAAAAGCCACAGGGGTAAATGAATGGATTATGGTGAGCTGCAAAACATATACTGTGAATGAAGTAAGGACCAAATAAATTGTATGACTTGTCTGCTTGTCCCTGCCTGGATAAATATATACTCAAAAAGGAACAATGACTAGAGCTGACGACCAAGGAAAACACATTTGATGGACCGGCGAGGCACAGCATGAACCTGCAGCCATGCAATTTAAGCGTCACTGGTAAAGTTAGGATACTCGCACAGAGTACATCAACAGGCGACAACACAGCTAGCGGTCTACAAAGAAATTAAAATTTCATGCGGTGTGATGTGCTAGGGTTATGAGAAGTCGTCTTTTCCCCGGGTCAAGTCAGAATTGTGATGGTTTCGTACAATTCGCTAAGATCAACTGAACGCTCTGAACCATGGTCATGAAATTCTCCTTTCTTATAGAATATAATTTGTAATTTGTAATTAGATTAAAGCCTCAAACAGATCTTCAGCCATTTGTTGTATACATTAAAATTGAGGGCTCGAGGCCAATAAGCCAACAGTTTTTTGGTTCTCGAGATAGCTGACCGCTCTTTTTTGCCAAGCGGCCAATAAGCTAACAGTATACTTCTATTATTTAAAAAAATGGTATATTTCTACTTGTGAATTAGAGATTTTGCAATTTGTTTTTATGAAATGCTCTCGTTTCTTCCTCTTGTCCTTGGTGTATACATCCCAGAAAATGGCGAAACATGAGGGTGGAGGAGAGCGATGGATGCCGGCGGCCAAACCATAACAACGGTGCACTGCCCCTGAGTATGAGAGCGAAGATGTGAATGATGGGTTGAACCAACCACTTGCTCGTGTTCAAACTGGTAACTCTTCCGATTATGCCCGTTGCCCTGTGGGATTTGTTGCCTTTGACCAAAAAATACTAGCACTCACGTGTGGGAGTAGTATCGATTGATCAGGTTCCTCGGATAAGCTCGATGAACGCCTCATATCGATCTGCTGGTATCTTAAAAGTTCTCTTTTTCTAGGAAGCCTATTTTCTGTTATTATTTATCTAAATATGTGCGTGTTTGATTGACTTCCATTCACGCTTTTATCACTCCATATTTGCTATCGTTGATATTATGTCTAGAAATTCCAAATTCCCTCATTTATATCAGGGAGGTGCTCCACTGTTCTTCCTACTTTGGTATGATGTTTTATTTTATCTTATAGACGTTTCTCCGAGACCCAAGTTATCTCCAGCCATTTCTGTAGTTCTTCAAATAATCCTTTCAGTTCGATTCACATGTCCACTCCGATCATTTAATCTAATAATATTAGCTACAAGCAGAATACACAAACATATCACCCAAATAAAATTTCTATAGATTCTAAAAATTATGTACCATCTGTATAGAGTAGATACACTTTTAATGATGCCCCATAATGATCCACAAATTTAAAAACGCCTATCTTTTTTGAAACTTGATATACTTGATGCCAACACAGAAGATAAAACAGAAGAGCATGCTTAGCACGAAGTGAAGAGCTGTGACCAGGGGAAAGTAGCCATTTTCAAGGCCTAAGTACTCCTCCAAAAACTTCATCACTGGTTGGTCTGGCTGGCCCAACACACGGATTAGTTCCGTGTGGTCGCCGAGCTGTGAAGACACAAGCCCATATAGGGTCCATGCTGCTGGATCGGCCCAGTACATCCACCTCCACCACATGGGCATCGCCTGTAAAAGTGAGTGGCAATGCGTCATATACGCTAACATCCATCCTTCTACCAAAATTTATGAAGAGAGAAAGAATTGAAGGGATCAGTTACCTTCCGTGTAATGATGAAGCCCGAGAAGAAATTCCATATCATGAAGATGAGGAAGGATAGCCCAGCAGCTATCTCAGGACTGGGTGTTAGTGCAACAGCCATCATCCCATAGAGTGTGTAGTCCATGAAGCTTAGTACCATGTACATGACAAACCATAAGAATTTTTCAAATGTCATCTGGAACCCTACCATTGGGTACACAATTGCTGAGAAAATGAGTGGTTGAATAACAATGTAAGGAATTTCAGCTGCTACCTGTGCAAGAAGATCCATTATGAGTGTGTTAGTTGCATTCCCTAGTGATGGAAGGTGTTTTATCAATTGACTCACCTGACCAATTACAAACGCCATTGAGGAGTACATGCCAGAAGCTTTTTCTCTATAGAAAACAACTCTCTCCATCGCTACGACTGGTTGTAAACTATTGCAATTCATGAAACCGAGAAATAGGGCTGACCCATATCCAATTCCCAGTATGTTGAACACATCTTGCTCCACCTTACTGTTGTGAAGAAGATAGTTGGTAAATATTCTATGTATGGTGAACTTTTCATTTTAGATTTGACACAAGTAGTGACCATGCATGTGTACTTACATTGTTGACCCAATTTGCCAGAACACAACGCCAAACATGATTGAGATTGCAAATGTATTTAGAAAGCGAAATATATTTAGCTCCGAGTTTTTTCTGTAAGAGCAATATTGTTTCCATATACATGTCATGCATTGAGTTTTAGTATCTCGACAATATTTGGATGTGAATTGTAGATCTTCCTGGTTTGTATTTGGTTTGCTCAACTCATCAACCAAAGCCATATTCTCCCTGTGGATACATACACAAGCCAGAGAAATACAATGTGAGCATTTGCCTTCCAAATTTCTAGATGACAAATACAATATTTAAACAACAAGTTTATAGGCATGCATGTAATAGCTTACTTATATAAGTTGGAGTTCTGGTAAATTTGTACGTAGTCCACTCCAATTGTATACTCCATGGCATGTGAGCTAATGTCTAACACCCATGAAGCTGGATTTTGACCATCCTTGATTCTAGGAACACCAGGAATAACCTAAAAAGAGGCCATTTAGTTTTTATCCCTATCTTATGAATGATAAGTTCATCTCAACCTATCTCACCTCGAAATATTTTGTCAAATTTCTACACAGTGAGCCTAAAGAACCGCTATAAATGAGTTGACCTCCTTGTTTCATAAGTAGCAGCTGTGATTAGTGAGAAAAAAATCAATCATTATACTAAATAAATTTGTGCATGGAATAGATGATTAGCTTAACTTTATGAAATGTTTTGTCAAATGAGCCCCTGTAAAAGAGACATCCCTGCTCATATATTGGGTGTGGATGTCATTCTTTCTGGTAGCACTAGACATGTGCACAACAACTAACATACCTCATCAAAAGATTCGAATAAATGAATGTTTGGTTGATGAATTGTGCAAACAATAGTGCGCCCGGTGTCCACCAACTTTCGTACTGTATGCAAGACAATTGCTGCAGCACGAGCATCTAAACCAGTTGTTGGCTCATCCATGAACATAATAGAAGGGCTTGCCACAAGCTCCACTGCTATTGTAAGTCTTTTTCGTTGCTCAGCTGATAGACCTGTCACCCCAGGAATGCCCACCATTGCATTTCTCAAGTTGTTTAGCTCTACTAGTTCCATAATTTCTTCCACAAACATCTAGCAAAGTTTAAAACATGAAACTATGAGAACATGTTTGCAAATCATGGTGCTAATTTTTCTGTAATAATAAAAGTAATAAATATCTTACATCTCGTTGATAAGGTTTCACATATGAAGGTAGGCGAAGGTATGCAGAGAATAGAAGTGACTCATAGACTGTCAAGTGAGGAGAGTGTATGTCTGTTTGCTCACAATAACCAGTAATCCTTGAGCATGTATCTTGCTGTTTTTGGTAGCCACCTATGTTAATAGTACCTTCGATGTAACCTCCAGTTTTTCTTCCAGCCAAAACATCAAGTAATGTTGTTTTCCCAGCACCAGTGATCCCCATCAACGCTGTTAGGACTCCTGGTCTGAAAGAACCACTAACATCCCGTAACAGCTGAAGCCTTGTTTCGGTTGCTCCATATTTTTTCATCTCCTGTCATAAAATTGGCATATCTAAGATAAAAAGAGAGCAAAATAAGTTGTCATACCTAACATAAAATTGACGTACAAGGGAGGGATTACTTTAGGCATGTCAACAAAATAGTTTATTTTTTTAAATACAAAACACAGTGGTTGGAACGGGATGCTAGCTTGATCGGTTGAAGCCTTCCCACCAACTATTACTTGATCGTCGTACTCTAAAGAGTGTCTCCCTTGTGACTTGATATTACCTTGGTGCTTGTGTGGAGCTGCAAATAGTTTTGATGAGATATTTATCCTTGTTTTTTCTCTATGAAGCATAAGATCTAACTTTGTTCAATGTACTTACAGTTTAAGAACTCTAATGCCAATATGCTCAGGATGTTAAAGATCAGTGCAAATCCAAATAAAACTACTATGCAAATCCAATACCATTGCCATTCACCGAGCAAACCCCTGACCTTCAGAATAGCTTCTCCAATAGTATTAGCATTTTCAAAATGGAACTCCTGTAATAAGACATGATTTAAAAAAAGTAGACAATGGAACACAAAGATATTGTGTCTCATGACATACTATAATTGTTTATGTTGTAGTGTTATATGCTGCTAGTAGATCGTTCCTTCTTACCTTAGCCCATCTTTTGTCAAGATATTCATTCAAAGCTAGAGCGTTGAGGGCGTAGGTGAATGGGGAAGCCCAATAACCCCAGCTCAACCATGGTTGGAGGTCATCTGCGTTTTGAATGGAAAATAGGTAAATTCCATCTCTAGCCTTGAAATGATGAGTATGTTATTACGTTGTTGCGCTATTCAATGGTAGATAATCTAACCTTTTGATATGATGAAGCCTCCAAGTATGAAGATTGCGACTAGAGCTTGCGTCCCTAGTATATTTGATACTATTGGTGTCCTTCCTATGGTTGCTAAAAAGCGATAAAGACCCAGTGACATTTGATGCATCGCAAAAAACACTAGTAATTGCTGAAATAACCTGCCACAAAATTGAAGGCCTCTGTTAGTGAATAGTTATTTCCTTATTGGATAGCATCTAAATGATGATGAATGATGTTGAAATTTTTGTATATACCTAATGGGAGAAGGTGCATAGCCAATTGCATAGTAGGTTGGGAAGGTCCAAAGACTTGACTCCATTAGTGATATAGGTAGACTGATAAGGAAAACTGAGCAAACAACGGCCCATCCTGGTAATGCTAATGACTCCCTTTGTTTATAGAATATCGGGAGCCTCTTTGTGGTCATTGCAAGTTCGATCATGCTGTTGAAGTTTATAACAGCTATACCCATAAAGAGAGCACCCAAGTACTTTACTCCGTCAAAAACTGTATCTGGGCTCGTTTCCGTCCGAAGGAAAAGTGTTGCAATGACAAAAGCTAGAAAAATGAGTTGTATAGCCTTGAACATATGAACCGGACAATTTCTTTTAAATAGGAGTACTTCCCTTGAGAGGCAAGCTCTGAAAACATTCCACTTTGATATGCCTGGATTGTTATATGCTTGAAATTCTTCCTTGCCCTGTTTGATGTCGTAATTCTTGCACTGCTTATCTTCCAGAGATTGAGGAAGGTCATATGCTTTGAAGCAATTTACGAATTTTTCAATGGTATGATTTTGATATTCGCTCACATCACCGCTCCAGTACTGCTTTTGATACTTTTTTAAGGTAACCTATCCAGTGCAAATAGTACATTATATATCATGTTGAGTAGTTGGATAAATTTATCTCGTGCTTACTCTAAATGATACATCAACTATAAAGTGCTTTACTATTGATTCCAATCACCGTGTGTCAAAAAGCGGACGAGACTTCTTGTGCACTACAATTTGGTAAATAAAAATGTAGGCATGCAGTTCAACTTAATAAACATCACTCTATTGTTTCCTATGCTAAAGAAACAACTGGTGCTCTTCCTAATATTGTTTCGTATTTTTGTATGTTTCTTTCAATGGAACACCATGTCAACTAAATTATCTTTGCTTCATTTTTCTGTGCGATGTTTGGTTATGTTAATCACATCACAATGCTTAATCCATACACGTCTCTACTCATAGGATATTTATTTTCTATTGATGACCTTATGGCTATATAATTAGAAATGGCAAGATATTTGTACTATGTGTTTTCTCTACCTAGTGAACTAATGGTCTATAATACAATTCCAATATAGCTTTCCTATCATTTGAAGCTCACGCAAGGCAAGTACTTGTAACGAATATGATTTATAACCAGTTATGAAATGTATCATGATTTACCTCTTGAAGGAAGTCAGCTACATTCTTCCTGCTAGGGCAGGTAAAGCCAATGTTGTTGAAAAAGTCAATAACATTTTGCCGAGCGCCATGGTAAACAATATCACCCTCACAGAGAAGGATTATGTCATCAAATAATTCTAATATCTCTGGAGATGGTTGTAACAAGGAGATAACCATTGTAAGATCCATGAGATGTGCCATTTGTCCAAGAAATGCCATAATATCAAATGTGGTAGAGCTATCCAGGCCTGTTGATATGTCATCCATAAAGAAGCACCTTGCACGACCAACTAGCATCTCTCCTGGATCATTAAAAGGAAGGTAATTAGAAAGATTGCTAGTGAGATACATATATATAATGAATTACAATATGTACGTGAAACCTACTTAACCTGAGCATACCCAAGACCGGGCTTTTGCAAAGCCTACTATGGTAATCATGTGGCCCAAAAACAGTCGTTTGCATTGTAAAAGGCATTGAAACCATTTTTTTGGAATAAACATGAGTTAATGTGCCTATTTAAAAATATTTTTTTACAACTTTTGGTATTTTGGGGCCGGTTTTGGCAGAATCATAGCTCGAGCCCATGCACACCCCCCTCAAAATTTCAGGTCGGGCTGCCCATGACCAGGCATAGTACAAACCATGTGGCACAATATAATTTTCCAACGATTGTAGACATGTAAATTTATCTATGCAATGTGCTTTCCTTCATCAACATAATAGAGTTAAAAATGTACTTTAATTATATTATTCTCTTTGCAATATTTTGGGCCATGTTGTCCCACAACATAGGTAGGGTATGCAATTCTTCATGTCGTGTTGGCAACAAGCACCTAATATGCTAAATATCTCTTACTTTTTAGTGTGTTGTACAACTGATTGCAAACAACTATATTATATTTCATTAGTAGAAATAAATCTTCTAGGATCACAATCTCCGAGGACAAGAATAATATTGCCATATTGGTCAGACAAAAGATCATCTAGACTGAAGTTACTCAATTGCATAGTATGGAAGTTAAAGCAAATAGTTTATCAGAGTGGACGAGAAGATCGTGTGTGTATTTTACAAAAAAATGTAAGACTTGCCTAATGTGGTTCTCTTCTTTTGCCCCCCGGAAATCCCTCTTCGGAGCTCATCCCCTATTATGGTGTCAGCACAGTTCGACAATCCAAGAATCTATGTGTAGTATAATTTTTAAGTTATCATTAGATAATATAATTTTGAATATCACAAGATGAAAGAAATATACCTTCATGATATAGTTTGTTTTCAGGTTGCTTCCTTCTCCAAACTTGGTTGCCTATGCAAAAGACACTGTGTATGTTATTCAATAAAATGATGACAACTTCACAAATATTTTAGTCATAAAAGTGAGTGATACCTTAGAAAATAGCTCCTCATCCACTGGAGTAGTCCTTCGCACTTCATCTTGTAGCATCTCTAAATTAATGGGCATGTCAAATAGGAGCAATGAATTTGTGTGTATCTCGCATGGAAACTGATACTATTTATTATTGAAACATGGCTATTGCTTGATGGTGTCAGTTAAATCAAGAGGTTATTTGTTTTTGCCTAGTTATGTAATTTAGCGTAAGGAATAGAAGAAACACAAGGGGCACACCAAAGTCGTTGTTGGAACCCATCATGTTGGAAGAGAAATTAAGTGTCTCTCTCACTGTCATCTCGGCATGGTGAAGATCATACTGGCTAACATAAGCACGCATGTAGTGAGGTGTAGAGGAGATTGATTCTCCATTGTACATTACTTTCCCTTGGAACTGCCAAAATGACATTAAAACATGATATTATTTAAGATCTTGCTTGCAAACCATTTGCAACAGATGTAACATAGCATAATGTATTATGTACTATTTTTGGCCTGATACCTTCAAAGAGGGGTCTAATTTTCCAGCCAGTGCTCTTAAAAAGGTTGTTTTTCCTGATCCAGGTGCTCCCACAACAAGAGTCATCCTAAATATAAATAGAAAGGAAAGCTTCAGGTACAATGAAATAATGTACTTCCCTTCGTAGATATTCAATAGGACCTCAGGACATCGCCTCCTCGATAACACAAAAGGTTGTCCACGGCTCAATGAGGATGAGTGCACTATGCTTACTCCTTCTAGCCATAATTAATGAAACTAATTTGTAACATACCATATGCCATGGAAAAAGAATTATGTAGCTTTACCTTGATGATCTTATTGTCCCACTCGCCGTGTTGAGAATTTTGATTCCCGTCCTCTGTGTGGCACAAAGGTATGCAGATTCTAGAATTTCCTACGCGAGAAAGAGATTTTCGCCCGTACATAGACTTTTCAATGAGGATACAAGAGGATATTGCCATTAATTGGTGAGCACCATACAAACCAGCAATAGGAAAATACATCTGTAACATAGTTGCAAGCACACCTAGCTAGCTATTTGATAAAATCTACAAAACATTATTGTACATACTTTTGTGTTTTCTATGGCCCTTTTTCACTGACAACGAGCTTCGTAAGTTTTTTTTTGCGCTGTTGTTTCTGTTCTTCAATTTGGTATGCTTGTTGTTCTCTTCCAGATTCTGGTCAAGCTCATGTGACTGGGTGTATGTCGTGGAATATGTGATACATTCGCTGCCATGCAATGATGGCAATGAACAATTTCTATCAAATCCACGTCACATATATAGCTATAGATGAATAATAGAACACATATATTGTGTATATAATTATGAATTTTAGCACTTGGGTGGTTGGGTTACAAGCCAACTTGACATGTACATATAGGAATAGGAATCGGCAAGCAGACACAACCACTAGGTCATTGCTATTCGACTAGTCTATCAGAGTATCCTACGAAGTCAGGTCCAGTAGGAGCAGGATGCGCTAAGCCATTCAATCTTCCTGCTGGTGGTCCACCATAGATCTTCTATGTAGCCGTTTGTTTTCTCTCTTAAATAATTTGTTTCTTTTTTGATCTCATGACTTTTTATGCGATCGAAAAACGAATGAGATCAGAAAGATAGGCGGATGACTTGACCATAAGGTCGGATGTTTCCGTGAACAGTAAGCAACGGATCTCCCCTAAGATGATTTATGTGGGTGCCTGGGTACCGTCCCCATTTCTTTGGCTTTCAATTTTGAATCTTTTATATCTTTTGAACCAAAAGTCTAAATGAAGTTTTTGTTTGCACGTTCATTTTCCTAGTGAAGAGTACTTTTAAATAAGATCATTTTGAATACGTTTTGACATGTTTTTAAAACTTCACCAAGTTTCAACTGGTAAACCTTTTTTTTGCGGGGGTTCAACTGGTAAAACTTGATATGAACGAACGGAAAAGTTGCCAAGTTTCAGAAACTAGAAGTTAAAACTTGGTATTTCTCGTGCGGAATCCAATGATTTTGCGGATTCAGAAGTAATCGTGCTGCTGGGCATGGGTGAGCTGGTGTGTGCCCCTACACCCGCGTGCCTTTGCGAATTTCCGTGTACATATACATTACATATTGAGCTAAATTTGTAAATAAGCATATGGGGGATGATGGTTTGCCGGGCATGCATTGAGCGTTAAGAAACTTAAAAGGCGTAACCGTACGCACCTTGGCAGCGCCGACGCCCGGCAGTGCACGCACGCCGGCGTGGACACTGACGCCGTCGAACTGGACCTCCACCTTCGCCGGAGCTCCGCCGCATCCCGACCTACGACACGCACACAGCTCCGCGTTCATTAATCTGCATGCATTATATGGAGTGCACACTAGCATATACTGTATATACTACTCCTTCCGTCTCAAAATAAATGTCTCAAGTTTAGTACAACTTTATACTTGCAAATGCAACCATGCATGCAAGCACATAAAATCGTAAAGAACGTATATACGTACCGTAGCCTGGCCTCTCGGAGAATGCGAAGGAACTCTCGGTTCTCTGCATGCGTCAATGGAGGCACCTCCGCCATTGTTGCCCCAAGTATGTAACTGTGCGTATACCGAGCGGGCCATGGTGTGTATATGTACACATTTAGAACGAACGCTTCCACGCTTCCACTTTGAGCGTAACCTCAGGAAATGCTAGCGAGTAGCACGTAAAAGTATATAATAAACACGCATGACTCGATCAAGACCTGTATTCTAAGCGTCCAACCAACCATGTATGGGCTAAGAAGCAAAGACCTCAACCTACACGATCAAGAAAATGATTCAGTCGAGTGTTAGTGGTGCTTATGATACGTATAAAATGGGTATGGGTTGATGTATTTCAGTATTATATTTGTGCTGAAGTAATGGATGCATGTACTTTTTAAAACATATAGTTACATGAATTCACGTAAAAAAATGATAGGTATAGGTATATCAACGATCGACCCACGTTGTACAACCTACACTACACATAGTGCTAATACGTTCTTAATCAGTTGGTTAAGAGATTCTGCAAGCGACGTGCGTTGAGGAGACGTACTAACCGGCCTGGTGATCGCGTCGACTTTAATTATTTTAGCTGATGCATGCCCCACATGGGCTATACGCTGTGCAATTGTTCTCCGCCAGACACCGCGAGGTTGTCCCCTCCTGCGTGGCTGCTGTTGCTGCCGCCCCTCGTTCCCGGTTGCCTTCTCTGTTCTTGTCGGTCTCGCTTCGTTTGCCACGGTGAGACGGCGATGGGGACTGCACAGCCGTGGTGGCGCATATTGGTGGGCAGCGTGTTTGGTAGCGCATGATAGATCGTCTGGAGTCGTGGGTGGTTGGTTGTCCGGAGTAATCCGTGTCGGCTTGTCCGGCACCGACACTGTGACGTCCTTGGGCGCCACTGTGCCTTCCTGAAGGGCGTCGGGTTTGCCCCTTCCCCCACAATCCTCTACATACCAGGGGAAATCCTAGGACTTGTCCGGGCAGCAGCGTCGTCGGCGTCGCAGTCCTTCTTGAAGGTGTTGCTTGGTATGCGGCGATCCGGAGTGCTTGGAATGTGGTGGAATTCTCCGGTGGGCGCATCGGTTGTGGTTCTTCATCGTTTTCGTTGATCCGTTGTTGTTCGCATTTGTTTCTTTTTTGTTTTCTCTTTCATTTTTTTGGGCGTGACTGTGCTGCTTCCACCCCAGCACCTATCATTGGCTGTATCGAAGTTGGTTGCTTTGTAATACAAAGCGGGGGGGAACCCTTTTTCGTGAGACAAACCTGCATAACAAAACGCCAGACCTGAAGAACCACATCTACGGACACACCATCTTTCACACACCTCCCGGCGGTACGACAAGCATCACCGGAACGAGAGTGGGGCGGGTGGACCTTATTGCATGCCGACGATGGCACCATCGTCTCGCCACTGTCGAACGGAGACAACCCTAAATTTATTCCCAGCCCTACCATCACTCGAACAAAGCCCCGGTGTCCCCCTCTCTTCATCGAGCGGCAGATGGAGGGAGAGGTGGCCCTCAGACTCGCGGGGAGTATGGTTGATCGGGCTCACCGCTCTCCTAAGTGAGGTGGGGGGGGATGGGAGAAAAGAATGAACCAACACTTTAACATCCTAACAAATTCAAGAATTTAACGTCCATTTGATTTTCCTTGATCCACCATGTAAACCAGTTCATCATTTTCATTAACAATACGCAGCTCCTCATAAATCTGGCCTTACGAGAACATTCGTGTTAGGACTAATAAATATGGTTGATTTTGCCACATTCGCAAGTTGACCATAATTTGTTATGTCTATAACTTGTTGCAAGCAAGTTGCATTAACCGTATCAGCCTTTGTAACAATCAATGAATCGTCAATGAAACGTAAATGAGGTACTCCCTCCGAATGAGAATACACTGATTTTTAAGTCTTTGATTTCACTAGTGACACATGAGTTTTATTCCATAAAAACTATATCTATAGATACATTGTCAAATGAAGTTTCTAAACATATATTTGTTGTCGCATATCATACATATTTTATTGATTAAACTGATTACCTAAAACCCCGTGTCCAGCTTATATTCCCATCCAGAGGGAGTACTGAGTGTGCATTTCTGCAGACTCTGATACCTTCAAAGCCACCAACTTCTTCTTCCTGCATTAACAAACTAGACAAGCCTTCCGCACATGGCAAGGAAGTGACAAGGGATGGCAAAATCCTCTAATTGGATGGAAACCATCTGCCACCTGAGAATTAAGCCAAATTAAGTTTAACCTTACCATTCCTGCTCAAGGAGCATCTTTACCCTTCCTGGAACCCATGTTTGTTGCACTGGAGCTTGCCTCGTCCAATGCTATCAAGTCGCCATGCAAACCCTAGTCCACAACGGGACATGTCACCCCAAGCTCAAGCCTATCACATGAGACAAGAGCCAAATGATCGTCATGAACAAGAAGAAAACCCATTGTTGCGATACAACTGAGAGGAGGGAAAACCCTAGACTTACGTCAGGGAAAACAAATATGTAAACTCTTTTTTTATGATGCATACTAATATGGGTTTATATACCTTTTTTTAGAAAACTCCACTCGAACTTATGGGTTTATATCCCTAGATCCGCCAATACATCTATCGTACTCTTTTTTTTTTTTTTTTGAACAACTGAAAGGCGCATAGCGCGCCAAATCATTCATTATAACAACAGCTTACATGATTAATGGCATAACCCTTTTGTGATACATCTTGGATAACCTGCTTCAGGGAATGATGCCAGCGTTGATGTTCAGCAATAGTACAAGTAGTTACACAGTGTTGATTTGGATTAAATTCCTGCGAATAAGCTAGCTTTGCTGCATCATGAGCTACCGAGTTTTGGTTCCTTCTTACATGGAATACCTGGACATGGCTTGAGCTTGTGAGGGCACAGAAATCTGCTAATATACCTCTAATCATCCAGTGTCCAGGCTGCTTGGTTGGTTCCCTTGCCGCTGCTGCTTTTGCTAAAGTTAAATTATCCGTTAGAATGGCAGCCTCATGTATTCCTGTCATGTTTATGATGATGGCTGCTAACTTGATCGCCAAGGCTTCGGCATGTATCGCTGATTGAGCTTGCATTGCTGTTGCGGAAATCTTGATCTGCCATTTTGTTCGTCTTTCTTGTCCTTCTATGGATATCCCTATACCTGTTTTCCCTGTTCCGTTCACACTTGATTGTTCCTGTTTATTCCAAGCTGCATCCGTGAATATTTTCGTTGAGGTTGAAATTTCAGTCAGATTAACTGTATTCCCTTGAACATATTTGTCTTCCTTATGCTTGCAATCCTTTCCTGTTTCAGAAGTAGCTGTTTCCTGCATATTTATATTTTGTTCCAAAGACAAACTGTTTATGATTGCTTGAGCCGCATGGAAGACCTGTATTGGAGATGCATCTTTTCTTTGAAAAACTTTGTCATTCCTGAACTTCCAAAGGCACCACAAAAAAGTGAAAATATTACTTAAGGTTGCATTTGGATGATTTGAATTAGCTAAGTTTAAGATGGTAGTAACTAAAGAATCTAAATTCTGACACAACAAATCAGTTCTAATGTACCAGGGGTTTGCAAACCATGCAGCTCTAGCATAAACACAGTTGAAAAATATGTGCATCTCATCCTCTTCTAAGCCACATCTTGAGCAGAACTTACTAATGTGCTTAGAATACTTACCTGCTCTCTTCCCTGTAGGTAAAGCTTTTCTTACCAGTCTCCATGCAAATGTTTGGATTCTAGGAGCCATATTTCTGTCCTTCCATACCTGCTTTAAGAGTTCTTTTAAATTATTGTTTAGAGTTCTAGGTTGTGGCTCTCCTTCCTCTTGCAAGACCTGGAAACAAGTTTTATATGCACTTTTTGTAGTGAATTTCCCTGTTGGTGTGTGTTTCCAACATAAAATATCTTCACCTTCTTCCTGTATGATTGGCACCTGCTTGATGGAATTAGCTGTATCAGAATCAAATAAAAGATCTATGAGATTAGCATTCCATTTTTTCTGCCCTGGAATCCAAAGATCTCTAATAAGAGCCGGATAGATAAAATCATTATCTTGAATTATGAGATGATCATAAATACTTTCCCAAGTGTTAAACCACGGAGAGCTCCAAAGAGAGATATTGCCAGCCCTGATTTGGAAAAAAGAATTTCTAATAAGAATTGGCCTAACTTTAAGAATGGAGGCCCAAAAGGCAGATTTGGGAACATTATAATTGGCTCTCCAAAGAGAGGAGTCAGGAAAGTATTTAGATTTTAAGATTTTTGATAGATGGCTGTCAGGCTTTTCAACAATTCTCCAAGCAGCTGCAAGAATGAGACACCTGTTGGTAGCTTGAATATTCTTGATTCCTAGTCCCCCTTCATTTTTTGGAGCACAAATGTCCTTCCAAGCTCTAAGACAAAGAGATTTGGCATTAGCTTCTTCCCTAACTCCTGTCCACCAGAAGTTCCTAATGATAGCAGTAAGTTTGGCCAAGAATTTTTTGGGGAAGAGAATATTTGACATATAATAAATGGGAATAGAAGCAAAAACTGAATTAATAAGAGTGAGTCTACCAGCATGTGAAAGTTTATTGGCTTTATAGGTTGGGAGCTTGGATTTGAATTTGTCAATAACAAAATTATAAGCTGAGGACCTATCTTTAGCTGGGAGAATGAGAGGGTGACCTAAATGAGTGAAATGATTATCAATGATGGGAACTGGAAAGATATTTCTGATTGTAAGTTGTATACTAGGATCCACACCTTTACTAAACAGAATACCTGATTTGGTCCAGTTGGGGGTTTGACCAGAGATAATACAAAAAGAACGTATAATCTCATTCATAGTATTAGCTTCCTCTATCGTGGCCAGACCACAAACAAGGAGATCATCAGCAAACATGAGAGAATGGATTGGGGGGCAATAAGGTCCAAGAGATATACCTGACAAGTGGTTGGCTGTCATGGCTTCTTGCAAGGATATTGAGAGCTCATTTATGGCAAGGACAAACAAATAAGGTGAAAGA